CGCACACACACGCGCACACACACACACACACACAAATCTGCAATAACATCTATGTGTTATGTAATTAAATGGGATTAAAGACCACAAAAAGCCTCCCATTGATTCAGACCAGGTTTAAATGCCAAAGGAGATCTGATAAAGAGAACTGTCTCCTCCTCCCCCAAAAAAGCATTCCCTGGTTTTCAGAGCATTTTGGATTTGGGAACTTATATAAGGGTCTGGAGTCCTATAATCTAATTATCTCCTAAAAATCATAAGCTCTGCATAGGCCTTTCATTATTTTCTAAATAGATATCAAATATACTTAAAAGCAAAAAGTATAATATGACAAGCCTCCATTTAACCATCAACCAGCCTTAATAATTATTGATACTTTTAAAAAATAAGAAATTGCATTATCAGCAGGAAAAAGCAGTTTAGAAGCCAAAAATACTATTAAAACAGTATCCTGGGAGGAAAAACACAAGTATACAGCATTCCTCTGTTTTTGAGAAGACACGGTTATCTTCTGCACCAGAGTCACGGATACCTAAAAACTACTCTTTATACCCCCACAGGATTCGACGTGCTGTAAAGATCATCTTCTCGAGCGAGGAAGAATGAATGAGTTCCCCACGTAGAGAAGTGAGGAAAGGACGCCGCAGCACCCTCACATTCAGCAGCCTATGGACAACCTAAGCAGACAACCCGCGACTGGCCAACTCGGTTACCTTTGACCAGGGCTCATGCTGAGACCCCGCAGCTCACCTGCCCTCTTTTCCTGCCCACCCCGACCCAAGAGGAAGCAGACAGCGGGACACTCACATCTTGCATGGCCCGGGTGCGGTGGTCGGAGTTGATCTGGTCCCGGAGCTGAAGAAAGGTAAACGGTGACACAGGGCCGTTAGTTTGAGTTCTGGAGGAGGAAAGGCCGGTCGAGCGGGACGGAGCTTACTCGCTCAGGTCTTAGCGGCTGCAGCAGAGGAGCCTCCAGGCTGCTGGGCCCCAGGAAGACGGGACCCCGGTGGGAGCGGGGAGGCAGCTCCGGCAGCAGGCGGGGAGAGTGCGGGGAGGATCTGGGGCCCAAGGGAGCGCTCAGAGGTTAAACACCGCCCAGCCCCTGACTAGGCCCCACTCACCGTGGACTTCTTAGTGAGCATCTCTTTGGCCATGACGTCCATGAGCCGTTCTTTCTCTTCATGGTATCGCCGCTGCTGCTCCAGAATTGTCTCCATCTTCCCCTCGCCGCGACACCTCAATTCCGACCACCAACACGGCCGGAAGCAGTTCCTGCCGCCTTACGCGCTTGCGTCCCCACGCTGTGCATCCGACTACACCAAAGTTCTGCGAATCCCGGAAGTGCCTCGGGGACTCGAAAAATGAACACCAGGAGGAAATTCAATCTGGGATGCCGAGATGGCAACAGTGCCACCTGCTGGTCAGGGAGGTGAAGGCGTGATGCCCAGAGGTTCACGGGTGCCTCTAGGGGGCATAGAACCTGAGGATAAGCAGGCTCTGGTTTTCCTGTGGTTTGCTGGGGCCAGCTGGACAGTCAGGGACTGAGAAATTGAAGAGTAGGGATGGGAGTTGGGAAACTGGAACTTGAACTTTTTTGCTTTCAGTGTGACCTCTGATAGCGTTTTTATCTTCTGTGGACCTCTGTGTCTTTGTCAGTAAAATGGGGATGATGGTGTTTTTTTTAACAAAATTCATATGTGGAAACAACTTCCTAGTCATTAGCAGGGGACTCATTAAATAAAATATGGCATATCCTGGCAGTGAAACGCTGTAGAGCCTTTTAAAATGAAGGCAAGCCGGGCTCAAACACTTGTAACCCAACTACTTGGGAGATTTAGAAGGATTGCATATTCAAGGCCAACCTCATCGACGTAGTGAGGCTTTTTCTCAAAGAAATTAAAAGGGCTCAGGAGGTAGCTCAGTGGTAGGGCATCCTGGGTTCAACCCCCAATATGGATTTTTAAAAATCCATTCTGAGAAATGAAAACATATATCCATATGTTCATAACATTACTCCACAAAATTGATGCAATCTGATTCCACCAGCTGGTGAATGGATAAACATAATGTGGTACCACATACAATGGGCTATTGTTCAGCAATAAAGGAATGCTACAAAGATGAGCCATGAAAATATCATTCTACATGAAGAAGATAAACTCAAAAATCACACAGTGTATGTACAGATGAAGTGTACACAACAGCAAATCCATGGAAGCAGAGGGTAGATGAGTGGTTGCTATGACTGGAGTTAAGATTGGAAATGATTACAAAGGGACCCAATAACACCTTTTTTGGGGGTGATGGCGTTCTAAAATTGAATTGTGTTGATAGTTGTGTAGTTCTATTAAATTTGCTAAGATTAATTGAATCAAACACTACAAATGGATGAATCTTAAGCTGGGTGTGGTGGTGCACACTTTTAATCCAGCAACTCTGGAAGCTGAGGCAGAAGGATTTCAAGTTCAAGGCCAGCCTCCACAACTTAGCCAGACACCTTATCTCACAACAAAAATTGAAAAGGACTGAAGATATAGCTCAGTGGTAGAGCACCCCTGGGTTCTATCCCCACTGCATTAGAAAAAGAAAAGAAAAAAAAAAAGGATGAATTTTATGGTAAGTAAATTATACTTTAATTATATGTGGGATCTAGTATGGGAAGGATCTGGTATGTAAATTATACTTGAGGATCTGGTATGGGAAGGAAATTTTCTTTGTATCCACCCAAAGTATAGCATCAAGTTTTTTTTTTCTTTAACATATGCATGTTACTTCCTCAATTTAAAAATAAATTGAGTTTGACATGTTAAATCTTAAAAATGTTTATATTGACATAAATGAAGGAGTATTGTAGTTGTACATCTAACTCTTAAGTAGGTGGATCACCTAAGCAATGCCATTCTCTGTCACTTGGCCTCAGATCTGAATCTGTCCTTCCCCTAAATGCTTTTCTATCCTCACTCCATCAAGTCAATCACCAAGTTCTGTCTGCCTCCTTCTTGCTACCTACCTCATGACCTCCCACTACCCACTGTCCTAATGTCCTAACAGACTTGCTCATATTACCCCCCCCCATCTGTTATTCATGCTGCAGCCAGAGTGATCTTCTCTAAAACTCTGACCCTCTCACTGCTTAAACATTTCCACTGGCTGCTTTATCCGCAGGGTGAGGTCTGTTTAGCTTGGCATCTGGCTTTTCACGACCTGGGCTCAGCCTGCCATTTTATTCTCTTGGCACTTCCTCCAAGTGCAATTACTTGCTGCTTCCCCAAAGCACCAGATGTTTTCAGGCCTCCAGGCCTTTCACCAGCTGTTTTCTATGCTTGGACTGCTCTTCCTTAATAAGTATTTATTGAACATGTAGTAAGTGCCGGGAGCTGAGAAGGAGGGGTGAGCAAGGCAGGCGTGAGCTCAGTCCTCAGGCCAGTGGGAACAGAGAAACAAACAAAAAAAGTAAAGATTACAATTATTAATTACAAACAGGCGTTGGGCATTCATAAAGATTTGTTGAACTGACTCTAACGAGGCCCGGGAGACAGTGTAAAGCGGACTAGAATCCCGGCTCTCTGGGGACTACCTGTGTGACTTTAGACGAGTCACTCTGGGAACCATCTCCACCTCTGAGGAATGCACGTAGTAACTAACGTCCGCCGCTTTACACTACATTTAAACAATCACGCGGTTTCCGCGGGCCGGCCAGGCTTCTCCCCGCAGGGTCCAGGGTCTCCACCCCGGGAGGCTTCAGGCTAGACCTGGGCGCGTACCTGCCTCGGGCAGCCAGACTGCCCAACTCGGCCAGCCACCGCAGGGGGCGCGGGGACGCTGGGATTGGAGCTGGGGCGTCCAGACGCCAGGCGAGCGGAGCAGTGCCCCGCCCCATCTCCCCACTTCGGGGGACAGCCCCTGTCGCTCATTCCCGCCTCCTCCCTTGAATCACGGGGGTGGGGGGGGCAAGGGGCGGGGCCATGACCCATTCATACTGGGAATCGGATCCAGATGTTCCCGCGGCGCGTGCAGCTGCATCCTTGCCTTTTTTGGCAAAAAACGTGCGGCCGCGAGCGTTCCCGAGCCGCCCCCGCTAATCCTTGGGAAGAGGGGGAAGGGGGTTGAGGGTCTGGGCCAGACTGGGGACCAGGATCTGGTGCTCGTATTGCAGGATTGTTAGGGTTAGTGGAGGGGGCGATGTGTACCAAACTAAGAAATCCCACTGCCATCTGGGATCTCCCGAATCCCTCCCTTCTTCACACAAAAAACCCGCAGCACCAGCAGCAGCAGCAGCAGCAGCAGCAGCAGCAGCAGCAGCAGCAGCGGGGGAGGAGGCAGGTCAGAGAGGGGCGGTAGCTGAGCAGGGATCCCCTTCCTGGGGAGACTTCCCTCTCCATGGCCTGCCCCCAGACATCCCCCTCAAGAAGTCTAAAAGAGCTTTAGTCTGCAAAGGAAACTTCCCTCTTATTCCCAGACAAACACACTGAGGCCTGAGCTTCCACACACTGCTTTATTGCAGAATCTGGAAGGGGGGTGAGCCAAATCCCCCTCTGCCCATCTCTGGGCAAAATGAGCTAAAATAAAATGGGAACATGCTTGGTGGACACGGGCTGGGAAGTACTCAGTACCTTAAGACCCTCTAACCAGTTATCTGATCTGCCCGGATAGTGCGAGAGCCCTAGGGAAAGGGGTAGGATGGAGGTGGGGTCAGCCCGAGTAGTCTACTTTTGAGGACTTCTTCGGCACCTGTAGGAGACCTAAAATCTATGTAGAGAAGTCTTGATTTATGGAGGCCTAGGCCCAGAGTCCAGGTTTGGAAGGCTGGAGTCTAAAGCCCTGGTTTGGGAAAGGATCTTGGTCTAGGAACCCTGATTTTAGGGGAGAGGGCCCAGTTCTGGACTCCAAATTTGGAAAGCGGGCTTGAATCACAGAGGCTCCATAAGAGCCCAGATTCGTGGGCCTGGGTCAGGGAGTACCAGTAAGGAGACTGAATCCTGGAGCCCAGGGGAAACCCCATTCTGGGGGGCTGGGTCTTAAGTGGTTCAGAAAAGGAGCCAAAGTCCTGGAGCCCTGGTTCGGGAAAGCCCAGGCCCAGGAGCCTTGGCTTAGGGCCCTGCCTGGCTGCAGCCTTGACACAGAACTTGGTCTCCGTCCGGCACGAAGCCTTGGCCCACCAGGGAAGTGGAGCAGCGGGCACAGGAGAAGCAGCTGTGGTGCCAGTGTCGGTCTTCAAAGGACACATACTTGCCTCCACCGAGTCCTGCAGGGAGGCTGGAGGTTAGCTCTGCTGACCTGGGGCAGTCCTGCCCCTCAGCCTCACCCAGTACCATATCCATGCCCTTGCCTGCACTCTACCCACCTGTCCCACCGGTGATGGGGCGTTTGCAGCTGCTGCACTTAGGTGCAAAGAGTTCTCCAAAACAGGTCACACAGTAGGGATCGTCATCCCGAGAGGTGAACTGCTGCCCGGCCAGGGGTGTCTGGCACCCAGTGCAGACCAAGCATTCTCGATGCCAGGGCTGATCACGGTAAGTCACTCCACCCTGGGTCAGCGTCTGTGGGGGCAGCATCCTTCAGCCGGGGGGAGTGGGAATTCCCACCCCACAACAGGTCTTACCCCTAGCCCACTGGCACAGCCCCCACCTTGCTGCAACGGGCACAGCGAGGAGCAAACTTGTTCTCATAGCAGGGCACGCAGTAGTGAGCATCCTTGTCGGGCACAAAGGAACGAGATCCCAGTGGCTGCTCACAGCCGCTGCACAGGAAACAGTGCTCATGCCACGTCTGGCCTCCATACTCCAGCTTCCGGGACCCTGTGGGGAACAGGAGTCCCACTCAGAGGCTATGTTTCAAGCTCCTGAGGTTCAGTCTCTGCTCCACAACCCGCTTGCCCCACCAGAATGTACTCACTGCTCCCATGGCTTGAGTAGGGTGGTGTCCAGGAACATGCAGCAAGACTTCCACTATGTATACTCTATATTGCACATGCTAACATCTCTCCAAACACCGGGCATGATAGTTCAGTATGTACTAGGCCTCCAAAACTGGTCAAAAGTGTTTTGGTGCCAGGAGCAGTGGTGCATGCTTATAATCCCAATGCTCAGGAGGCTGAGGCATGAGGACTGACAAGTTCAAGGTCAGCCTCAGCAACTTAGTGAGCCTCTTAGCAGCTCAGCAAGACTCTGTCTCAAAATAAAAATGACTAGGGATGTAGCTCAGTGTTAAAGCACCCTTGGGCTCAATCTCCAGCACCAATAAATAAATAAATAAAATAGATAGATAGACAAATAAATAAATAAGGTTTTGGGCATGTATTAATCCTTTTTATGTTTCAGATAACTATCTTAACACACATCAAACCTCCACATAATAGGCATGTTGTCTTGGCTTATGCTAAACCCTCATACACCAGAAGAGATAGTTTAACATGCACACAAGAGCCCACAAATGCTAGGAAAGCAAATTTTTGCTTACACGAAGTTCTAATGCCCTGGATATGATGGATTCAGTACATGCTAAGTCCTTGTAAGTTCTAGGCATGCCATTCTCCACACATGCTGAGTCATCACACAGCTATTAAGCATGCAGGTCCCCATACATGTTAATCCTTGCACACACTAAGCCCCAATGCACCAGGCATGATAGTCATACATATCCTTAGCTCCTATATGTACCAAACATGCAGGTCTTCATACATGCTAAACCCCCAGGTGTGTATTAAGCATGTCAGTCTGTTCGAACATGATACTACCCCAGGTGTAAGGCCTAATGGTCCAGCCCACACTGAACCCTTAGGAAGGTACCAATCTGGTCAGTTTCTGCACCTACCAAGTTTTTATATGCAGCCACAGAGATGCTGATCCCTGTGCACAGTAAGCTTCAGGCACAGAGTGTTCAGGCACAAGAGATCCTGCACACACCAAATTTCTAGGAATGAGCCGTGTGTGCAGGTCTCTACCAATGTCAAGTCTGTGTGTGTGTATCAGACAGGATGTACAAAGACTACCCAGATGCTAGGCACTCCGGTTTCCAGACAGGATGAGCCGATGGGGACATACCAGGCATGACAGTTTCTCCACAGGCAGAGCACTGTGAAGAGAAGGCACTGCAGTAACAGTCATTGCAGAGCAGCTCGCTGTCCTGGCAGGTAAAGGGCTCATCAGCTAGAGAGCGCTGGCAGCGACAGCAGCGGAAACAGCCCTCGTGGAAGTGGCGATCCTCATAGAACAGCTCCTGTGGGGAGCACAACAGGGGCACTGGTGCCCAAGCCTGGTGGATCCATCCTTTGCCCCCTCCCACCAGCCTCCACCCAACTCCTGCCAGGCCTAGTCTGGTCCTTACCCTTGAGTCATGCCCGATAAGCTGCTGGCACTCAGCACAGGTGTTGGCAAAGGTGTTGTCATAGCAGGGCACGCAGTAGGGGCCACTGTCTGTCTGGATGTACTTGCGGCCATACAGGGACTCACTGCATTTCGCACAGTCAAATGCCTCGCTCATGGTGGTGATGTGTGTGAGCCCTGTTGGGAACACAAGGTGGAGCAGGGGTCACCTAGAGGGGCCCTAGCTTAGCCCTTAAACTCTTTTCATTCAAAAACAGAGACCAAGCATAGGAAATGCCACACAGAGCAGGTAGGGATGGGGAAAGGGGTGCTTCTGGGAACCTAGGAGTTTTGCATTTTTATTTCTGTATTTGACTGTGGGGATGGGAAGAGGTCAGGAAAAAACCAGGAAGCAGAAGTTGTTTTCTTATCTAGGCCCTGGCAGATCTAGGGGGAGGGGGCTTTTCCTGGGTCAGTGACTCATTTCCTGCCCCAGACTGAGTTTAGCCTCCAGTGTGTCCCTACTGTCCCCAGGGTGGCAGGAGCAGGGGGCAGCAGTCACCTCCTGACTTCTAGAAAGGGACTCTAGTAGATAAAGGAAGCTTTACTAGAGCTCTGAACTGGGGAGCTTGGGGTTGTTCTGCCCCCCTCCCCCATCCAGGAAACAATGGAATGCTAGAGGGAGGCTGGACAGATGAATGGTGGAGGCTGGCGTCCTCCTTTCCCCAGCAGAATCAGCCAAGCAGTAAGAACTTGAGAGGCTCAGTCTAGGGTGTAAGCAGGAAGGAAATCCTGCAAGCTGGACTCAGCTGAGCTTCCCCAGCTGGACACTCTGCCCTTACCCCCCTCCACCCCTGCTGTGTCTCAGGTCACACCAGCTTGGGCAGCCTTGGCTGCAAACATCTGCAACAGCTGTGGCAGCACAGAGGGCCAGATGTCAGATTTGCCAGCAAAAGGGAGAAAAAGGAAAATGAGATGGATGAGGAAGCAGAGGGGAACTGAGACATACCACGGAGGGCCCCGTGCTACTTCCTGCCAGGCACCTCTCCTGGCATCCTCTCTTCAAGGCCCCAAGATCTGCTCCCCCTTCATGACCCTCTCCCCTCCACACAGACAGCCTTTTCCCACCTTTTGCGAGTCTTGAGTTTGAGTCTTAGGGTAGAGGTGGGGGAGAAGAGGGTGAGGGCAGGAGCCAGTGGAGACCTTTCTCCTCTGTCAGACCCCCTCTTGGGTGGGGAATAAGACCAGGGGAACCCTGAGAGCCGCTGCTGTAGACACCCAGCCCCCCAACCAAACCTCAGACACTTTCCATTTTCTCAGGAACAAAGCATGTTTGTGGGATGAGGTCATCCACACAGCTGCCTCTGGAACAGGAGCATGGGGAGTGGGGGGGCCGGTTGGGAAGTGGGGTTCCCAGTCCCTTCGTTCCGCAGCCAGTCTCCAGCCCAAAGTCAGAACTCGCTACCCCTGGCCTCCTCCACCAGGAGGCCTGCTCTCTAGGGGCTGGGATTACAGGTGGTGGAGAGGAACCACCAGGACCTATGGGAAGGAGATGTTCTCACAGCTGCAGATAAACCTCTGGGGAAGTTAAGAGACTACAAAGGGACCCACCAACCCCCTTCTCTTCCCCAGGAGACACTATGGACTGGCAGTTCTGGCTCAAGTTGAAGGAAAAGCCCGTTTCTCAGCCACCCCAGTGGGAAATTCTCACCCACAGCGTTGCTCTGGCTTGGAGTTCAGACTTCAGGCGCCAGTAAATGCCCCAGGCCTGAAGGCCCTGACTCCTCTGGGGCTTGTGTTTGAAACTTCCCTTCCATACAGCGAAGAACACCCAGCTCACATTCCAGGCGAGGCCTGAAGGCCACCAGAGCTGGGATCTTCACAGTGGGACTCCTGAGGTAGGAGCTATGCTGTAGGGTGGAGGTTGCCACTCCTCAGTCCCTCCCTGCCACTTTGGCCTGGCTTATAAGGATTGCCTAGGCTGTCAGCCACTGGGCAGCAGGGGGCCACGCAGGTGGTATGTGGCCCAGCGTCCCTCAGGGAGTACCCTGGGCCCTTTCCTTCCTTCCTGGCAAGGCTGGCAGCAGCAACCACCTTTCCAGGCCCAGGCTAGCCCTGGATCCGCCCCTGGGAGTCAGTCACCTCTGAGACAGGGGAACCCCAAATAGGGTATGGGTGTGGCTTGTTCCTTCCCAGAATCCCCCATTCTCTTGGTCTTTCCAGCTGGGCTCTGGTGAGGACACAGTGAAGGGCACCATCAAGACCCACCTGTCTCTGCCCATCCTGCTCCCTCCCCCTTTCCCTGGCAAGGCTGGGGGGCTGAAAGAGAGTGGGAAGCCAGTCCTGTATTCCTTCCTGGCTGCTAAGGGAATAAGGTTCAGGGGAGACTGCTGGATCTGCAGGATGGCTCTCAACCCTTAATCCCACCAACACACACATCCCTCCACCTGACCTAGACACACATACCATACGCAGTTTAGAACGGCTGGATAACAGTGTACAGTGTATAGAGGCTTGAGCTATTAAATAAAAGCCTGGGATTTGAATACTGTGACCTTGGGCAAGTCACTTAAGTGCCCGGAGTCTCTTTGGCCATCTAGTTAAATGAGATAATGCTACTCCCTCCCTCCTAGGATTGTCATCAGGCTTACATGGGATGATCTTTGGAGAGCACTTGGTAGATAAGTCCCCAGCGAATGGCAGCTGTTTGCATTTTTACTATGAGCCCCTCACTTGTACTGTGGTCAGACAGAAGGCCTCATGCAGGCCTAGGTCAGGGAACTAGTCTGGGATGTGACCTGGGCATTCCCTGTGTAGGCCCACAGAGTATAGGAGGTCCCAGCCTCGTGGATCTCACTGAGGTGACCACCAAGACCAGCCATCAGCGCGACTCCAGTGAGCATAACTGTAAGACTGCTCATGCAGGTACACAGCTGTACACACCTGTCTATTACTCTGCCGCTCCACAAGGTACATTCCCACCATCACCTCATTAGCTCCCACAAAAGACAAGCAGAACAGAATATCGCTCCTACTTTATAGTAGAGCACAAGGAGGCCAGAGACAGGGCGGGGCATGGCCAAGATTGCTCAGGTATCAGATCTCAGGTCTCCTCCATCCAGCCTGGAGCCCTTTCCTCTTCCTTCTCTCTAGAAATATTTGGTAATGAGTGGAGGGGGTGGTCAGCTTTTAAAGAAAAGGGATATATACCAAAGCCTGGCTCTCCTGCCCAGCTGCCAGCCCTGTGATTGGAAGATAACCAGAAGCCTTTCCAATTAGCCATGCCAACTGCTCAACCCTTTTGTCCCCCCTCCTCACTGTCCAGGAGGACCCTGGCCAGGCCCCACAGTTGTGAGTCAGAATCAGAATAGATTCCTCCCCCCAACTCCCAGGAGTTGACAGGAGACTTAGGGGAAAAACTAAAGTCCTCCCACCCCCACCCCTGTACCCAGGCACCAACCCCAAACTGCTCTCCCCCTTCCTCCCCTACAGGGCCTGGAAGTCAAAGCAGTTTAGGGGAAAGGGGGTGGGAATAGGATCCAGCAGCTGCTCTGGGGACAGGAGAGGAACAGTTCATTCACCCTGGGTCCCCCAGGGCTGAAGCAGCTCTTCCAAGATTAGAGTTTAAAAATAAGCTGAGGCTGTCTTGGTGGCTGTGTGCATGCATGAGGCTACTTCTTGATCTTGGTCTTACTGACTTAGGTCCTCTGCCTCATGGGGGATTGGTTAGCTGAGTCTCTTTTCCCCACAGCCTTGTCTCCCACTCTTAAAGGCCTGGATCTCTCAGGGTCTGTCTTGGAACTGTCAGTGCATCCAGGTCTCTCCACCTCCAGTAACTTTCAGTCTCTGTGCCTAGCTTGGCTCCACTCAACATCTTTGTGTCAGGCACACTTAGGCTGGTCTCTTTATGTTTGATACAGATACGTAACTCTGTATCTCTGACCGGCTCTCTCCCAGTGGGAACTCCACTACCTAGATCTCTGTCTCCTGTACACCCAAGTCTTGCTTAGCCTTTCAGCGTCTCTAATGGGCTGAGAGTCTTAGTCACCACCACCTCCATTTCTCAGTCTCTGCACCCAAATCTCTGTCTCTTAGCATCTCTGCATGCCTGAGTGTCTCTTTCTCCAGTCTCTGTAGATCTGAGCGGCGGATTTAGCAGGAAAGTAGCAAAACTTCAGTCTCCAAGGCCCTCCAAGGCCCTGGCAGGGGCCCTAGCTATGTGTTCACAGGGGCCATATGCATACTTTTTCTTAAAATGCTGCACAAAATCCGGGTCTGCCCCATGCCTCAGGTCGGTCGCTGGGCAACTCTGTATGTCCAGTCTCTGCCCTTGTTTCAATGATCTCTAGCCTCCTGTCCC